ATACCCGTGGTGGGCAGAGCACAGATAGCCCAATGTGTAGCTTTGTGTTTAATTTCAAACAAATAAACAATCTATTCCATGTAGAATATGAAAATTATAGATGTTTTATCCCTCAATTCCCTCAGCGGCTCAGCTGTAATCTAGAAGGCTCATAAACCAAAACCCTAAAATAGGGGTTCAACGCTCACGGTGAGCAAAGCGCCGATAGCTCAATGGATAGCTTTACAATTAAACAACAACAAGAAGTTAAATAATATTTTATTAAAATAATTATCGCGTTATTTTAAAACTTATTCGATCAAGAGCATAAAGTTTTTGTCTGCCAGATGGCTACAGGCTTTAAGTCACGTGACTTTTACTTTTGAATATTAATTTCATAATAAAGAAACGTTTTTGATTCTCATTATTTGTTAACTGAATCTGAAATTAAGTATAAAATCACTATAAAGTATATCGAATACTTGATCTTTTTTACATAATAGCTTAAAAAGTAGAGATGGCATCAAAGAGAAAAAGGCTACCAAATGTAGGAAAATCAAACGTGGATGATTCTTGTGGCGAGAGGCACAAATGCGGGAAAAGTTCAGTTTCTCGCGGCACTTTCTGGAAAACAAATAAATCTACGTGCTGGAAAACAAGGTTTTTGCATATACTCTATTGTCATTTACATATATTAGTTTAGAATTTGAAAGGATGTAAAATGTCTTTATTATCTCTTTCGTTAATACTAATATTACTTGGTATTTTTAAAAGGAAATATAAATTTAATTTATAGTAAATTAATTGTCTAACAATTGATTTTTTTTAACTTTTAATTTTGGCGTTATTATTGGGCTATGGTGTCACAAATAGTATTACTTCCGTGTATAATATAGTAAAAACTTTAAGTTTCAGTGCCTGTTGGAATGACATACCCTCTCATAACACACTTTGATTATGATTCTAATATGAAGGCAAAATGTGCATAATTTAATCATCTTATAACTTAAGTTATACGATCTTTGAAAAGATGTTACAGAAATTAATACAATTGTCATTGAATCTGTGCATTATACTGTAATTTATAGTGAAAAAACAATAAGCCCAATACTGAAATATAGGGTAATAAAGATCGTGAAATTATTTCTACTATTCTAGCTTGGTATCATGACTAATGAAAGTAATATGCACTGTGTAAAAACAAAAAATCAATAACAAAAACATCATTCCAGTCATATCAGGCATTGGAAGAAGAGGCCAGATACTGAAAGCTAATTTCCTAGAATTTGTGTTAAGTGAATATCACAGTGATCTAAGCAAAAACTTGAAGTTATATCTATATAATTAAAAGAGTAATTTATGTAGGAAGCTTTTAAAGTTTAATTAAAGTATGTAAAAATCAAGGAGTAGAATAGTATGGACAATAGTATGCCACCACATGCATAAGGGAGGAGTGGGTATAGATATTACTGTGCATTGCAAAGGGAAGTGTATTTGGGGAATGGATCTGTCATCTCTCAGAGTTCCATCTCAGATAGTAGTGTTTATGTGGTAAGATTTTGTGTGTAAGTATTTCTTCACTTAGGAGTACTGGTATTATCATTGTGTTGAGTTTTAATACTTGTCCCCAATATTCAGGTTTTGAAAGCATTGCTAGATCTGGTGTCTCCTATATATATATATAAATTAAGCCTTAAAACTATTTTTATTTTAAAATTCCATTGCAATTTTCCAGTTGTAACCTTAAAGTCATAATTGAAATTGTCCGTGGGTGATAGAAAGCGTTGGGGATATCCCATCTATCAGACACAATCCAAATGCAGATGATAAATTAATTAGCAGTCATGGAAAATCAAATAAGGATGTGGAGTTGACTGCGTATACCCACAATACCTCAACTTGTACTGTCTTTTACTGACCACAGCCAGTTGTGGAAAGGCAGTTACCCTTAAAAGTTCTTCTAATATTAAAAGTAGAAAAAAATTATAATAATAAGGTCACCCTTAAAATATTTCTAATAAAAGTTCCTCCCAACCTCAACTCTTAAAATTTCTAATAGTTCCTAAAGTAGAAGAATAACAATATTAACACCCTAAAAATTCTACAATAGATTACACCCAATCTCCACCCTTTTTTAAAAATATGACAAAAGTATTCAATAAAGTATAAAAGATCTACACTATTGGGGGTGGGTAGACCAAGAATGGGAAAATTGAATGCCCCTCTCTTATCAAAAATAGTCAGTTTGCTATTTACCAGGTAATATCCAAATCTAAATAGTTAGCATATAAGTGATCGGTATTACTTTTTTTCCATTATAAGTTCTTTTGGATATATTAAGCTTGGTGTAAAGTTCTGATTATTTATAGCATTTAAGTCATCTATTTAATGAAAGGTTTATGATTCATGGATTTGAAACCTGTTTATATACCTGTTCATTAAAAGTAATGTAACTATTATAAACACAGAAATGAAGAATATTATTACATTGGATTTTGGTAAATTTAAATTTTGGAATATTATTTCCGTATCTATAAAATTATCAAACAGGTCATCGACCACTTTAATCAAATCTTTCAGATCTATTTTAGTATATAATGTTGTAAAATCATAAGTGGAAACAGAACTAGCCATAACTGAGGTATTTTAAGTTATGTATACATTCCAAAACTGGAATGTTGTTCTTAATAATCCAAAAACAGTTATTTGAATCATTTAAACATAGTGTTTTAATTCTTTCAAAAACAGTATAATTGTGTATATAGTGAAAGAATAGTTTCAAAAGTGTCAACTTAGTTCAGTATATAAAAAAAAAATAGATTTACTGTTTTATTATATTTCAATAGTTATCTGTTAAATACCTTACAATATCTTACAAAACTTTATTTAGATTTTTATACAAATTTTTAGTTACTTTTTAAATAGTTTTTTTATTATGTTGTTGTATACAGTATATTTATAACAGTACACAGTATCAGTTTTCCTCATGAAACAGCTGTAAGTTTAAATGTCCATTTCAACCATGAATTGGAGCAATTCAATTTTCATTCATGAATTTGTATTTGTAAATATAAGGTTTGCCAAAGTGCATTTGTTCCAGTTGTAAGTTTATTGTCTGTATTATGGAATACATAACTATTGGGATGATTTTAATCATGTAGAAGTTTGAATGTGACTGAAAGCAGGTTTGGAAAGATGATATTGTATTACTATGGCCAAATCCAAAATTGTTGTAAAGGTTTAAGTAAAGAAACTGTCATTAAATCTACAGCACTCAAGCTTTTTTTTATTTTTGCCCTGTGGAGTAAAATCTATAGTTGCTACATTTCTTTAAAAATGCTATAATAATGAAATTCAGCATTACATCCTAGAGAGAAGAATCAGTGTTCTTAATTTCTGAACTAGTGCTGTAATTTTGCATAGAAGTTAAGCATGCATTAAAGACATAGGAGATTGGATGAATTGTAAGCCAACAAGCTAGTATACCAAAGAAAATATAACATTTTAACAAAATCGAAATATCTTGATTTTTTTTTAATGAATATTTTCATTTAAGCCTGTTTATTTGCATTTGTTTACCTCAAATTATCAGAATAGCAAAAATATTTGTAGAGATTTGTTGAAACTAATATTTATAAAATTTGCTTTTACAACCTAGAGAAAAGCCCTAATTTCAGTAATCATTTCATTAGAATGTTATTGTTAACTATGCTTTTAATTAATTAGATGTTTGTATTGTTGTCTACAAAGAGCTTAAATGATGGAATGTAATGAGCATGTGAAATTAAGAAGCTTCAGGGAAGTTGTAAATGGAACCACAACATAAGCACACTAAAATTGTTGGACAGTTTTTTAACTTAGTCAGTGTCAGGGAGTGTTAATATAAATCCAGTCTAGTTGTAATAGTGCAAAAGAAAATTGTTTCATCAAGATGGTGACTTTTTAGTGTTATTCCTGAGCAATCCTCTACTAAGGCTTTGCTCTGTACCCACAAGAGGGCCTTAGTGGCCCCTTTTTTCCCTTGCTGTTAGGGCTTTATATTTTAAAACCTGTTTTCATATTTTGAATTTAAACTTTTCTGTACCTCAGCATGTTGCTGGTTAATGGCCTTTAACTATGTTTGAAATTCATTTAACCATTTGTGGTCTGGGGGAGGGGCAGTTAAACCTACTGATTTTTGTCTTCTCATACTTAACTAAGTTTTAGGAAACTTAGTAAATACCTATTATATTGTACCCAGTTTCAGCCTGAAAAAAGTCATATGTTGTATTTCTATAATATTTTGTGTTGTAAATTATGAGTCACTTTTAAATATACTTAAATTCTTTCTTTCATTGTGGAATTTACATTTTTTTATTGTTAATCAAAAAGTTACATTTTATATATATATGTACACATTCAGTTTTATCTTGATTGATATTCATTAACTTAATTTTTTCAAGATGATGCACATACAATTAAGCTATCTTCCCTGTGCATCTGCTTTAGAGATTTTCTGTCATTAGCCGTTAGGCAACACCCACCTAATCTCATGAGAATTTCTCATCAATTGTGCTACTGAATAATAATGTTATTATGCAGCAAAAGCCCTCTACCAATAGGAGTGTGACACACCTCCTTGTGCACTAACTTTCTCTATGCTATTGCATCATGAATCTTCATTCTTTTCCTCAGCACTGAATGTATTGGATATGTTTTGTTTTTAAAAGTTACCTAGATTTGCATAAATTAAGGAACTTAGTTTCCTTTTCTGTCTTCATATTATAAATTCATAAGTTCGTGTAACATCTTAAATTTCTTGTGCAAGTGAAGAATGTCATCATACAAGTTAAATTTCAAATATGGCTACTGGAGGCACATTGAATGTTGATGATGTGAATGCCATTGTCCATAGGGTAATGGGTTTCCTTATGCAGCCAGGAACTTCAACTCCCATCTATTTGTTAGGCATTCCTTCCCCTTGTTTTGAAGGTGAGGAGAAGATGAGTTTGATCATTTGTTTTCCCATCCTGGTTATGCCAGGGGAATTCCAAACTTTTTTTACATTATTGTGACCTTATAACACAGGTATATTTCATTTTGTCTATTGCCACTGTTCCCTCTTCCACAATCCTAACTTTAATGAATTTTATGTTTTTCCCCCTTCTCCTGATATTGGTGTTCATGCTAATTCCATTTTAGAGCAACTATGTTCCTAAGCACATGCCTCTTTCTCCCCATATTTCTGATTCTTTTATTATGAGTTACAGTGATTCTAGCTTCCCCTTTCTTGATTCCCAAGCTTAAAATCTCTCTTACCTGCTCTGTGGGGTCAGTTCTGCTCTCCAGTGCTCAATTTTTCTGTCTTCACCTGTTCCTTCTTCCTGTGCTTCATTACATTTCCTCTCTACACCTTATATTAGAGGCACTTCACTATGCCTTAGATGAACTTGCGGGTATTCTCATTTCCTTCTTTTCTTACCATGGCCCATTCCACTTCTGTCCTTTCCTGCTCACTTGGCTCAGTTGTTGGGTAGGGATATCCTCCTCCTTTAGGTTCACCTTCCTTTCTCCTTCTTACAAGACCTGTGCCTTGTACCATTTCTTCACCCTGGGACCCAAATCCATCATCCCCACTTATGTACCTTGTCCAAGCCCCCCCCCCCCCCCGTTTCTCGTCT